ATTTTTAGAAACAATGTACGTAAATAATATTAACAAGATTAATGATTCACTCAATATATTAACAAGAATAATGATTTACTCAATATATTAACCGTAATTGATGTTTTCATTTCTTTTTTTTGTTCCATTCAATGCATTTCGTTTTTGTCTCCTATGATTGTTGCTATTATTATTCTTTGCTCATATCCATTTTACATCTTTTACATAAAACCAACTATTTCTTCTATTTGATTTTCGTATATTGTGAACCGCAAATTGCTGTTTTATTCGTGTTGTCTTTCATTGATATATATTTTTCTCGTGCGTGAATGTAATTGTGCCTTCTTTTTTGTTGTCGCTATTGCTCTTTCTTTAAAATTATCAAAAACAAAAAAAAAAAGCACGCGCTTTATTATTTTCTTTTCTTCAAAACAAAAAAATGTCAGTACCCATGAATTAGTTTCAGCAACTATGTTTTTTTTCTTCAAAGAATTCATTAGAAAAGAATTTTCAATTGACTAAACTTATTTTTCATCTTGGTTGGATTTCATTCATATTCGGGGTTGTCATACTTTTCTTATAAATTATATATCAACAGATCGTCTAGCAAATTATTCAAGAAATTATCTCAGGAATTTTTTGTTTATGATTGTTGATCTTACATCGATGAATGCTGGATATTGAGAAACATTGTGTCGTTCTTATAAACAAGTTCAAAGGATCATGCTGCATTTAATAACCTATCTTAAACTAGGATGGCATGTATGTGATTTTGTAAAACAATTTGCGACGCATCGAATCGTATATGAGATATCAAGTTTTTCTCAAATTTTCATGTGCTAAGGATCAATACACTGATTATAATGCTTGGGAGATATTATAGAGTACACACAGACATGTTGTACTCTACAATGTTCTAAAATGAACTTCAGCAAATTTTGTTTTTAAACGTATTTCGATACAGTCATGTGTTTTTTAATTTTCTATAATCAATAGTGTTCATTGTTGCTTATTTCATACTTATAAATGATCCATTTTCCAAGAACTAGGTTATTTCTTGACTAAATGATATTCCAGTGTATTCAACTCTATACCATAGAATAAATGAGTATCAAAGTGAAACTTTCTCAAAACTTGCATACACTATCGAGCTCTATATGTTTTACAGATAATATCTTTCCGAACAACAGTGACTCGTTATCGACTACCAAGATTGTTTTCTAGAATAACCTATTTTCCTATATGAACGCATCGATATACTGACGATATTTTAACAATACTCAACGATCCTATTAAAAATTTCCAGATATTAATAATTCACACAGCATGTATCCATGATGAACTGATATAAATAACTCCTTTATAGATAGAAAAATTTTTTTTGACCTTCCGATCCCTGGAGCGAAGTATGGATATAGAGTGCAGGAAGGATGTTTGCTATTTTTATAATTTCTTTTTCAAATTTTTAATCCGAACATCGTGGTCTGATTTCTACATGAAACTCTGGAAGAATCTATAAATATCTTATGTTTATTTTAAAAATAAATTTTTTTAAAGGAGTTATTTATATCAGTTTATCATGGATACATACTGTGTTAATTATTGATACATGAGAATTTTTAATAGGACCATTGATTATTCGTCAATATACCGATTTCTTCATATAAGAAAATAGGTTATTCTAGAAAACATTCTTGCAAGTTAACAATGAGTCACTATTGTTCGGAAAGATGTTATCTGTAAAACATATAGAGCTCGATAGTGTATGCAATTTTTGAGAAAATTTCACTTTAGTTTGGTTCTCACTTATTCTATGATATAGAGTTGAACACATCGAAATATCATTCAGTCAAGAAATAACCTAGATCTCAGAAAACGGTTCGTTTTTAAGTATGAAATAAGCAACAATGAATACTATTGATTATAGGAAATTGAAGAACACATATGACTATATCGAAATACGTTTAAAAACAAAATTTGCTTAAATTAACCTTAGAAACCAAACGGTCTATAAGTGGTCTAAAATGTCTCCCAAACATTATAACCAGTGTATCGACTCTTAGCATATCAAAATTTGGGAAAAGGTTGATTGCTTATATACCATTCAATGCGCCGCAAATTGTTCTACAAAACTACATACGTGTCATCCTAGTTCAAGATAGATCACTAAATCCAGCGAAAGCCCTTCAGTCATTTATTATTAGTATCATATTCACATTTGGTTGAATCCTTTGAGTAATAGCGTACTTTATGAAGTATATTTATTTTTTCAACTTCTTAATCTTTGAATAATGGTTTAACATACAAAGATGTCGAGATGTGACAATGCAAGTATGTCTACTGGTCTCAAGTATGTGAATTATTTTGCTTGTAAGTCTATGCAAAGTGATAAACGATACAAAATAAAAGACATAACTTGAAATTAGGATGAGTGTTGAAGTTTTTCTAACAATATTTTATCTATGAATGTTTTCTTGTTACGTTTTCCTTATTATATTTTTATATGATTATCATAGATATTAATCGCAGAAGATATGGTAGAACAGACGACTCTTCATTTTTCATTCTTATTTCCCAATATATATTTCAATAATAATTGTTCATTTTCAATGAATTTTTCAAGCCATCGATAGTTAATCTTTATATTTTTTATGAATAATCTAATGACACTTTTGAGCATCTGATACAGTTTTAAAATGAAAGTTATATTTCTAGACGAAAATATGAATTTTTTTGTCGCAAGAATCTCAAACTTCAAAAGTGATTCTCGATCGTGATATGGCTATATGTCAATAACTATTGAGAGTTATTGCTCTAAATTCTTATTCAACATAAAGAAGTGTCAAGACTAAATTTTAATGAATAGAAAGTTTGCATCTCTTTTCGATCAAAAATTAGCAGCATTTTATGGAAAATAAATGGGACTCTTATATCTCAAGAACTCTTGAAGGAGGGAGATCGAAACTTGCTGAGTGACAAGCATTTGGTGAGAACAATAACAGCACAAATTTCGAAGTCACTAACTCAATAGTACTCGAAATGTTAATTACTATTTTCAATTATTGCGTTTACTATTGATAGTCAAGATCATAATCGAATATGTCAATAAAATAGATCATTCTTATCACGAGGGATACTTTTTAGTAATGTTTAGAAGTTTATCCATTGAACATTGCTTGACCTGGAAATACCAAAATTTATTTAATATAATTCAATTGATATAATTGGTGTTTTATGCCTCTTCTTTGCACATGCTATACTTTTATTTATTCAACGTAAAGTAATAAAAAGAAATCAATGACAAAATATTTTTTTTCTCAAACAATCATTCTTATGATAAGAAAGAATATTTATGGATTAGAAAAATTCTTTTACTATTGAAAATGTCCTTTGACATGCGATTGTTTTTGCTTTATTGACTAGAATAATATCATTATATTTAATAGTATTGATTATACAAAACGTCTATTTCATGAAACCTGGATTTGACTTCGAACATCCCAAATTGGAACCAAAATAATGAACTATTGTATTCTTACAGAACATACAAAAGCTTGTTATATCAACAAATTTACATTCTAGGTCTTTGTAGATTGTTCCTGTTACAGTCTATATCACAAAGTTTCTAATTTCCTTTCAAAAAGTAAAATAGCAACTGCGTAATTACTAGTATCATGTGACTAACTATAGTCCAAACTTAAATGTACTTTTATTTTGTAACTCTTCATATTTTGCTTAATAATAGGGAAATATAACTTAAGATGTATGAAAAAAAAGAATTACTTCACTGATGAAAACATTGAGTTCTTATGAAAAATCACTAAAACTTTCTTGTTTCTATTTAGATCAAATGACATCTCATGTCAATTCTTCATTCAGCTACGAAGATAAACTATTCATGCAATACTCTGTCAAAAGCAATGAAAATATTTCTTTTATTTTTGCTTTGATGAACCAGATCTAATATCTGTTTTTTGTAACTATATAATTGAAGTTGGATCTTGACATATATACTGAAAAATTCTGAGTTCTGGAAAATACATCTACGTTAATATATTATATATATATATGCCTATACACTTGATATATAGTTTGAAAAATAGTTTCTTCAATAATAAATAAACATGGAATTGAAAATAACTTTTTTCCTGTCATAAACAGAATCAAACTAAAAATGTCTAGCTTCATGAATACCTAACTTCGTACACGTTTGTTTGCATAGACGAAGATCAAAGAAACGTCTACATCTACCACTTAATTATCGAAATACCACTCTGGGAAAGATGATATCATGATAAAGAACTATTTCAAAATTTGAAAAACTTTTTGTAACCATTGAAATATGTTCATACTAGCGACAGCCCGTGCATACTGCACGGCTCTTTCCCCCTTTAACGTAAGACCTTAGACGTTTAACTTTACATCCTGCAACAGATATACAGGCACTCAATATTATGTATATAGATAGTTAGATACCCCTACGATCTCATAGTCTTATATCACACATATTTTATAGTCCATATACCCTTCGATCTTATAGCCTGATATCCCTTGTAGCTTTTGTAACCTTATCCTCTATCGCCTTTCCCCTTTTTGTATTCCGCCTTAAAATTCTAGAATCTTTGACCTTTAACCCGGCACAGAGAAACACACAGACACACACACTGAACAGTATATATATAGATGTTTATAACAAATTGCAATATAGAATTTATCACGTTATCGATATCTAGTGACATCTAGTATTAGTCAAATTTTTCAATAAATAAATACTTGTGAAGAAAAATAAATATTGTGTAATATAGAAAAAAATAATTATATTTATCATAGTTTTATAATCAAATAAAGATTTAAAAAAAATTCTCCAACAACAAGTCATTCGATGTTCGGTCAACAATGGCGATTAGAAGAAAGGGAAACTAACGGGCACGTTTCTTTGTTCATTCATTTATCACCTTATATCTATCATTCAGATAAAAGAAAATTTATAAAACTTCTTTTTGTTTATCTATTTATTGAATATGTCGGATACTACTGTTGAAAATCAACAAAATACAACAACAAACACTAATGAAAATGAATCATCAGCAACAATTAATGGTACTGATAGTGGAAAGACATCAACTAATGAACCAATGGATCAACAAGTAGCCGATTCAACAAAAGTAAATAATGATTTATCAACAAATGGTGAAAGTCAAAAAGATGATTCAACAAATAATAATAATAAACAAAAAGTTGATTTATCAACATTACCAACACGTGCATATCTTGATCAAACTGTTGTACCTATACTTCTTCAAGGTATGTCACAACTTGCACGTGATCGTCCAGCTAAACCAATTGAACATTTGGCCTTATATTTACAACAAAACAAAGAAAAATATGGCGAATAAATTTTTCCATTTATTATATCTTATTGTTTGTATTGTTCATATTGTCAAAGTTTTAAAATTTAGATAACACATAGTCTTCTTTGTCTTTTCTTTTTCATTTAGTAGTATTCATAGATTATTCTGTTTTGGTTTTACATTCAAAAAAAAAAGCCGCCTACTTAGTAGGATAAAACTTTTTATGCCAATTTGTTTTAGATTAAATTCAAAAGAATATATTATAATTGAATAATAATGTCGGAAGCTTCAGGTGAAAATCAACCAACATCCGTTAATGCAGGTAGTGAATCATCAGGTGAGAAAAATGTTGTAAGTACAACATCATCGGAACAAATGGAAGCTCAAACAGCTGGTGATTCAGGTGAACAACAAACATCAAATGATAAAACAACGACATCTGCTGATACAACTAAGGAAAATAATACAAATTCGCAACAACAACAACCAGGTGAAAAAACAAAACCTGATTTATCAACATTACCAACACGGGCTTATCTTGATCAAACTGTTGTACCAATACTTCTTCAGGCAATGTCTCAACTTGCTAAAGAACGGCCTGCTAAACCAATTAGTTTTCTAGCGGAATATTTGCTTAATCATAAAGAAAAATACAATGAATAAGAATACACGATTAGAAGAAAAAAAAAGCAAATATGACAATATCGTATTGAAACATTTTCTTTTCTCTCTTTCGTTCTCTTTTCTTTTCTTTTCATTGTCGATGGTTCGATTTTTTATTATTGTTCATTATTAGCTTCTCTTTGTTTCTTTTTTCTTCCATGTCTTTATTTGTTGTGTTTCAAAAACATGTTTTTTTTTGTCTACTACTGTTGTTCATTGTCCTCTTGTTTAAAAAAAAAGAGAATAAAAGAGAAAAAAACAAGAAGAGTAGCTGTAATTGTTAATTTTTGAATAGCTCGAAAAATTGCTATGAAAGATAAATTGAATTCGAATTTATCATAAAGAGTAAAAACAAAAATCAATATTCGTAGTTCAATTGTTTCACGAAATAAATAGTTGACTGTTGTGTTTATGCGATCGTAACTTTTGACTTGATGAGAAAAAAAAGTGAATATTCCAATGCTGTTTGACATCATATTTTGATGATGAACGGATCTCTATCGGTTTAGAAAAGCCAAGAAGATATGAAAAAAGGGTATCTGGTTTTCTTCTTTCACTCTAATAGAAATAACAACATCGAATTAAAATAAGATTATCTAGAGATTTATAGAATTCTTTTTTTTTGTGTGTAAAGATACTGAAGTTTGTTATAGTAGAAAGATTTATTGTTGAGATTTTTATAGGCTAATCCTTTAACATGAAGATAGAAAAAGTAGAAGAGAATGATTTGTTTTTGATACAGGTAATGTTGAATATCGTTTCAATGGCACTAGTAAACTTATAAGGGTGTGGTGAGCGTGGGTGTAGATGAAGACAAGATCGATACCTACACCCACACCCAAACCCAAGCGTATTTATTATAGAATATTAAAATGTTTAAAATATGCAAATTAGTAAAATATCAAAAATGATGTCATAGAAGTGTACAGAAAGACAAATGCTGTATCTATCGATTGTATTTATTATATAATATTCTATGAAAATTATCCCGCAATCAATACATCTATTGGGTACACTTCTGAAAACTGTTTCTGTCGTATGTATAAAGTCTGATATAGCGAATACTTTGTATCGGCATGGCTTAATTCTACTAGCCATCGAAGAAAAGACTGTTTATCGAAAATCGGAATGAAACAATTGTAGTTCTTTCTTGGAGTTTTTTTATTGATAGTCAAAGATTAGACTAGATCATTGTGCTGTTTTGAGATTAGTGTAAGATTTTTTAGTTTTCTATAATAGCTTCATACTTGATACATTGAAAGAGTAAGTCAAACGCATCAAAATCGACTTTTCACAAACATTCTTCATCGAATTGAATTTACTAGAAATAGTTACTAGATATTTCGATAAAATATTTATTTCTAAGGATTGATTCAGAAATATTTAACAATATTTTACATGGATAATATAATTCATTTAGAAGAGAAAATGTTCGAAGAGATTTTCGATGAGAAAATCTAATTTTAAATCGGTGTACAATTATTAGTTCGATGAGTAAACTCGAGATTTTGATCTCACATTTTAATAATACGATCTCAATCCATCCGATTCTGAGAACAGTTAGCTATTAGAAATAAAACTCTTTCCGCGTTTGATATCAACAACTGTTCAATCCCTATGTATATATGTTGCTTGATACGTCTCAGCCTATGAGTCTTCCTTAAATGAACCATTACTTTGCCAGTACAATCAATAAGATTTTGTATGTATAGGCTAAAAGACTTTGATAGTTTTTTAGATTAAAATATTATGTACAGTTTACATGTTTGCCTTAGTACATACTCATCAGAATACGCGGAATATTAGATGAGTAATATTCTATGACCATCGATAAAATATTTCATAAAAATCTACTTGAAAAATATTGACGAACGTCGTAGCATGTTTGAGAACAATCTCATATTATGAAGTTTATATTTCGATCATAGGTCACAGACGTGCCAAAAAAGATATCTGAAGAGAATACTGAATGGACTACGGAGCAGGATATCTGTACCAGCTGAATAAAATATGCAAAGTGACCTCAAGAACTTGAAAAGTTACAGATAACAAGACTTGAAGCGATTTCTAAAGCTATGGGCACTATGGTATACCGACATTGAACTGAAAAATTTCTAGACATTGCATGAAGAAAGAAAATATGAGTTCGATAATTTTTTGAACACGATATGTGTTAGTTTTGAGCTAATTTTTTGTTGATCTCATTGTCAAATAGGATTACACGGTAGTTTAACGAACGAACTTGACGAACACAGAACAATGCTTACTTTAGGATGAATATTTGTTAAACGATAATATTGCACCGTTTGTTCTATTCATCTGATCAATATTTGTCGGAGATAAATCTTGAGCACGGTTAAAAATAAACGAGACGGTTTGTTGTTGACTTCGCATTATTTAGAACGAAGTTGACAAATATAAGATAATGTGAATCACGGTACGAAAAAGTTCATTCTGATGATAATATCGACTTCTATATTACGTAAAGCATAATTGAACATTGATAAATGTTCTTCTGGATAAAAATATGATGATGATATTTATGGTTCAATTTATTGTTTTTTTTTGCAGCTCACTCGGCAACTTTACAGACGAAATAGTTACGATAGTAAACAATGATTGATTCAAGTTTTGTTTTGATGCTTTAGCACTTGCCATGGTAATACTAATTGAAATAGAATTTTGATTGCACTCTCAAACTACTTGCTTCGATACTTCATAGATGAACAAAATATGTGTAAATGCTTTCTTAATTTTTCGTTATTGTATTGCTCAAGCCATGTTTTGTTCCTAAAAAGACACAATTTTGTAGATGAAAAACTGACTTGAGATATATTATAAACAATGGTTAGAATAGCTTAACCTATTATCGAAGCCATGATTATGAAGAGTTTGTCTTTCTTAATATCCATAATGATGTCAATACCTTCATTGACATCAGTACATGTACCATTATTATTAACCCTATATCGATATTTTGTGACTGTTGTATAATGATTACTTTTATTGGCATAGTCAATACTGTTGTGCAGTTCGACAAATAGAGAATTCTTCAGCTGACAAACACATAAGATCGATGTAATAGTTTTACGTATGTCTTTCAACTGTTTCATATGCATTTGTACACGCTATTTAGATATTTTAAGTCGATATTTTCACCTGTTAATATAGTAAATATTATTTATTACAAGAAACAATGATAATATTTATGGTAGACATTGAGTAGACAAAATAATAATGAATCATTACGCGACATCTAAAATGCAGCAGTCTTTTATGCCAAACAAGTTATTAAGATTTGTCACAGAAATTAATTTTGTTTTGACAAAAAAAAACATTGAAGCGACTAAAACCGAGAAGAGCTAGCTACCGAGCACTATCATTGTAATCCTACTGCCAACTTCTTAACATCTTCCAGAATTTTTCAATGGGAAATCTACGAAATCGAGCGCTAGAATCATTGATCTGGGCGTGTTTTACTATGAGACTGCAAAATCAGCAAGATAATTAAATCCTATGTATCAGCTAATCGACAACAAATAGAAGAAGATATATGATGATAAAATATCTGACAGATAGATGAAAAGCAAAGAAAGATGACATGTTTTATCACAAGAAAAAAGTGTTCCCAAAATAGTTTGTACAATAAAAATACTACTCTTTTACTTATTCCAAAACTTCTCAAGAGATTCAAATATCCAAATATGACAAATCTGTTTTTAACACAACACTATTCGCTGTAACAGGTAAAAATTGTTCACTGAAGCTTTTTGAGTGTAATGTCATAATGACCCAGAGGGAAAATGGAATATAAAAATAATAAGACAGTCACATATCATGTATAAACATAATTTTTGCGAAAAAAAGTTTCTGATGTTATTTCATTACCTTTAATCATTTGTGTGTGTGCATCCATTAGTATTCAAAATGTCATTGTAAATAAAACTTCAACTTTTCCATCTATGGAAATGAAATTTCCTTTTTTTTCTAAAAATATTCAAGAAATTAGTTAAATCAAGACTTAATCTCCTATAGAAGAAATGTCAAAGTTTCTAACTGAATCAAGTAAGAAAAAAGGAAGTCATCACAAATTAGATCTTCAGGAAATAATGTATCACAATGTTATGACTTATTATTTCTTGTGAATGTCTTCATAGCAAATAGATATAATAGAGATAAGTCTTTCTACAAAAACAAGTACGGGAAAAATATCATGTCCTTTTGCTTAATAAAAAGCTTTCCGAATAGATTTAACCTTTTAGCGCGAAAGATCAAAGTTTAGACACTGAAGGAGACACCTAAGTTTTTACTGAAGTTTGATTCATTCAATTATACAATAGAGCAGGTTTCTATTAAGCCAAATTCCGATAAAATAATACAATTGATTCAATGACACGTCTGAAATTTTTCGGTAATTATCAAATGTATGCGAAATTTTATTCTTGAGAGCATGCTGCCTATCAAGATGCCGGGCTGATAAAAATGATTTGACCATGCTATAAAAAAAACAACATATTTCGTTGGTCTAATGGTACTAATAAATTGAAAAATAAATTATTATTGTAAAACGATTTCCTAAAATAGTACGATATGATATCCTATCATTTTACAGTTCGTAATGTATATAATTCAGAATTGGTCGACGAGACCAATTTCACTGGCAGAGTTCGTTTTTTCAAAGAAAGAAAAAAACAAGCTCACTTATTATAGATAGACTAATCTAAAAATGTTTTCATTTCTTTCTTATCAGTAAAGATTATTTTAGAATTGTTTTGTCAATATTCTTCCTGTTGTATAGATCACTGCTATTTTCGCAATTTTTCTTGATCATATTTAAATGTAAGGTATGGATAATATTGTTAATGAGTTCAATATAGATCAAGGTACAATTAATATTGATATAAGCGATGCTAAATTCATCATTCTCATTATCATTACTAACAGCAAATATTGGCAAGGATTTTTTTCTTCAGTATATGAAATATAGAAAGTACTTTTGTTATCTTGCATAAATGTACGAACGCCAAATATTTCGATCAAATAAACTTCATATAAATAAAATAAAAATATAAAGCTGCAAAATGTTCAAGGCACCATGAAAATAATATCTTTAACTATAATTTTGACTTATCTATTATCAAAAAATGATTGTTCATAGATATCCGTTAACAGAGGCTTTATTTTTACAAAAATTTTATTTGAGTATTCGCAATACATAAAAGTAAATGGCCATGAGATTTACTTGTCAGTATATTTAAAAATTCGTGATCATACCCTTAATAATATTTTAATAATATTAAAAGCAAATAGGTTTTCCTAGTCTTCAGTCATTTATGTAAATGAACCGAATTTAAAACATGTTGTTTTGTATTGTCAGAATGCTGTACAATGAATTATTTTGACTGGTGCAAATGATGACAAAAACAAAAAGAGTAAAGTTCAATGTCACTTGCCTTTTCTATCTTCTTTTGTGTTTACATTTAGTAGAAAAAAAACGGCTATGCATTATATTAATAGTTATAGAATCAGTTGGATCTAAGCTCGATAGAATATGGAAGATGTATTTTATGATCAAGAGTTGGATTTCACAAAAGTGTTTCTCTTGCTTATATCACAGCAAGAGGGAAACAGAAGACTTCGAAAGATTTCAACAGACTTTATGAGATTTTAAAAGACTTCAAGACTCAAGCTTTTGTTGTTGTTCCCTCATGTTGAACGATAACTTTTTAGACTATGACTTTAGAATTCGAATAGATCTTGATGATTAGGTTAAGTAAAATTACGAATCTCTGAGACATAATACAGATCAGTTTCATGTTTACAAAGCTTTGAGCTCATTTTTCTAATTCTTTCCATTTCTGATGAAAATATATTCAACAAAAGAAAAATGATTTGTAAATACTGGGTTCCGATGAGCTTTAGTAGCACTGTTAAAAGTCATTCTATACAAATTTTATTCAATTTTTTTAAAATAAATTCATTAAAAACTAACGTTTGATGAATTAAATTTTGATTACTTATAGCGTCTTTTTTTTCTTGATTAATAGGTTTTGTTGAAATCAAAGAACAGTAATTCATTCGAATTTTCTTATCTTATTTAAAATTTATTATACATTTATCTAATAGATTCAAAACTTTTTCACTATTCAGATGAATCATTCAAACAAGAAAAATATGAATAATGAAAATATAGTAATGCAAAGATCAATTGTATATTTATTATAACAGATATTAAAAGCAAAAGAGAAAAGCAAGCAATTTTATACGAAGCTTAGTGATTTAAATATAAATTTATATATATGTATGGAGAAAAAAAATGAGACTTCAATTTGGAGATATGAAGTATAAGATTAATGATAGATTTAATTGACACTAAAAATCGTGGAGAACAACAACAAAATTTAGGACGGAATTGACATTAAAAATAAAGTATTTATTAGTTTTTATGAACTGTCTCCATCAACAATATGTTGTTGTTGTATTAATTGAATTTCAAGTTGTTTTAAAGCTTTTGAATGATTTTCATCCATTTGAGCTAATTTTGTTGCATGTTGTTGTTGTAATGCAACAACAAATTTAATTAAATCTAAAATAAAAATTAAAAAATAAAACGAAACAATATTTTAAAAAGAATATTTCATTTTTATTTTTACCATCTCTTGATGAAGATTGTAGATCATCAAGTAATAATTGATTATGATCTATGTCATCTATTGATAATTTATTAAAATTAAATGATGATGTAGGTGAATATGAATCGACTTTATGATTAAAATGATTTGATGGTGTAGATAAATATGCTGTTGGTGATAAAAATTTTGAATTTGAACCAGAACTTGAATGATATATTCAAATTGTAATATAAGAAAATATGTATGTGAAAATATTACCTTGACGATGAATCAACATTTTCAGGTTCTAATAATGAATAATTAGTATTAGATTTTTCCATTTGAGGAATCTGGTTCTATTAACAAAAAATAAGAATTTATTTTCATCTAAATAGAGATTTTCGATCAAAAATGATTTCATTTGAGAAGATTTATTTTTATTATAATACGATTCTATTCTTTCAATTAGAAAAAAGGCTGAAGTATGTTATGTTAGTGAAGTGAATGATAGAGAATAATTGGATCTAATACAGTATTGTATATTTTATTTTATAACAAAAGAAGTTAGAGGAAAACTTACACTTGATTGATAGTGACGTAAGGGACTCACCGTGCATTGGCCTTGTCTACTTTTGGTGGTCTGTGTAATTTTTTTTATTTATAAACAAAAGGGATTAGAAGACTATTTTTTTAAGCAGGTAGCGAAACTGTGTTTATCAAAATATCATGTCTATACGAAATATTTATTTATTTAGTGCAATTAATATCTATCAATAATAAACAACAAGGAAGAGAGAAGGAAGGATACTCGACCTTTCAGCTATCTTGCGGTATTGGGTACTTTCTAACGGCAGATTCAATAGCTCTATATCTTCTCCACAACTATGATTACCTGCAGCTCCGGACAGAAGACCAGCCTGACGCAAAGTTCTTGCGCTCAATTGCATGAGCTTCCCATACAGACTACTTAGACACAAGAACAGATGAATGTCACAATGTAGTCAACATACTATCGGAGGTATGATCCGAAAAAAAAATTCGTTAGTGACTTGTCCAGGGTCACTTCATGGCGGATAATACTGATGTTTGCACACAGTATCTGGTGGTTACGTGTCGAGCAACACAATCACTCAGTTATGATAACTAATAAACGACAAATCAGTGATATTTTAAAGAACTCTATTTTTAAGTAAGAACATTTTAAATGAATTTGATGAGTTAAAGACTTAACAATTCTAGACATATAACGGCAATATAAATATGAATCAAGAAACAATAAGAATATTAATCGACAACTGATTTAAAGTAATAATAAAAATCCATTAGAGAGAGTGTGAACAGTAACTTAGCAAAACGGCTAAATAAACTAAATCAATCAATAGACAATGAACAATATGCTCACAATTTAATATTAGTTCATCATTATGCCTAGTCAAAATGATAAAAAAAAATAAATATTTATTATTCTTTACCGACAAAGATATTCCTTTGCATATTTTGATATCTAAACTGTCTGGTCGAAGAATGAAATTATTATTGAAAACTTAGAAAAAACATGATAGACAGGGGCAATCTGTGTGAGATCTTTTTGAACCTCTAATAGATAACATACACGAAAATAACCTCTTCTATATCAATGTTAGCTTTTGAACGCTCACTTACATAATTTTTGCAAAGAGTCCCGTCACTTCAAGAACTTATCTATCAGGCAATCAAAGGAAATTACCAATCAAGTCTATATTTACTTCTGGTTGATTAGTGGTTAAATGAAATATTATCATCACACATTTTAGTCTGATCCAATTGTTTTAAGATTTGTATAGAAATAACTAATTTTCACTATGCTTTTATCCAATGGAGAAAAACCTGCATTTAGTGAATCAGATTTATTCTATTGTCTCACTTCTATAGGTGCTCACAGAAAAACTATCTTCCTTCAATTGCAATCACAAAAGCAATGACTTGTAATATTCACTATAGTTGATCAATCATTTCGATAAGGAACAAAACAAGATAAATGGCAAATATCGTTATATATATATATATATATGATAACGATGAATTTACCTTTGGTAAAAAGAAGGTTGAAGATATTTTCCCATTAGTACAAATATTTGTGATTGATTCTTTCGATGCACTTTGTTTTAAGTCCATTGTCATTGAATTTGCTTTTGATTTCAAATCACTTATATTATTTGATGATGGTGTTGAAACAATAATTGTTGTTGGTGGTGGTGTAACTGAATGTTGTGCACGTAATTTTGGTGCAATAAAACGACGTCTTACTGAACCAAGTAATGAATTATCTGCATGACGATCATATATTTTTGTTGAAGAATATGATTGTGCATCTTCTTTTTGTTGTTCAATATCACATTCATGTTTATATTGACTATGATTAAAAATAAAGTTCATAAATGGACGATTATTATCATGTAATGTATGATATAAATTTTCAAATAAATTCATTTTTGTACGTTCCTATTTTATTATTAAAAATATATTAAATAATAGGAAAAAGGAAAACATTTTCTTCTTACTTGATACTTTTGAAAAGTACTTGCTTTATATGAAGCCATTTCAGCATTAATTAATTTTATTAATAACCATTGTTTAAATATTTGATCACAATAAAATACGTTTGAATGATTTAAAAATGGTCCAAATAATGGTACACTATCACGACGAATAACAGATACTTTAAAACGTGTACCATCATTATCTAATGGTGTTACAACAATATAAACATGTAAAAATTGCGAAGCAATACATTCTGGATTAAATATTGTTTCATTTTCTTGAAAGACTATGGCAACAATATCATTGCCAATATGACGTTTACGTTCAAGTTGTTGTCGTTCTATTTTCGAATGTGGTAATAATGTACTAACATGAAACATGATTTCATGATTATTAAATTGTTCATAAATGGATTCAGTTCCTGTATGATCAGATTTAACATCAAGACCACCACGAAATCTAAAGAAATATTTCTTGTTCAAAATAGAATAAATTTGTTTTTTTATTTGAACATTTTTACCCTTGGAAATCTTTTAATTTAACACGATTACCAATAAAATCAAGGAAGTTATCCATAGCAATACTGTGTGTTTCATTACTAAATATATCTTCTTCAGTTAGTTGATTTTCACGTTGATATATAATACCAAATTTATGTGTTTTAGATACATATGATTCATCATATTTTATCAGCAAATCATGAGACTAAAATTTGAGAGTAATAGAAAAATTTATTTATTTATTTTTCTTAAATTTTACCCCATCACAAAGCACCGGATCGAAATACTCAATATCAGTAATGCCACATTGATCACATATTCGTCGTAAAATATCTATAGACGAAAGTGATGATGGTATATCCAATAATGATTCAATCGATGTTCGTTGTCGAGCTCTATATTAAAAAAAACCAAACATAAGAATTCTTAATTGACAAGATTGATTCAAATCATCGCTAACCGAAGAATAGCCATAACATATCGTTGTTTATCCTGATCATTTGAATATTTGTATGAAATAATAACAGGTCCATGAATATCACTAATACCATACCAATTAAAATGTTCCTAGAAAAAAAAAGAGAAAACTAAAACTTGTTCCAAACATACAAAACAAAAATCTTTGTTTACTGTTGATTCAAATTGTTCACGATATATTAATGGTTTATCATCAGTTTCAAGACAAGGTAAACATTCATCAAAACTAGTTCCACTATTTGTTTGAATTGAAGCAGAACTTTCATAACACCAAGTATAATGATTCGTTAATTTTGTATATGAAGTTGATGCAAGATTACCAAAATGATTATTTCCAGTGTAAACTATTTGTTGTGATGATGATGATTCAGCCATATAAGGTGAACTGACATTAGATGATGATTCAAAATATCCCTAAATAAATCGATATTGAGTCAAATTTATTTATTTATTTATTTATTTATTACGTACTATTCGTTCAACTGGAGCAGCAGGAGTAGAGGATATGTGCTGTGAAAAAAAAAAGATTCAATAAAATTTGTCTCAAAAAGAAAAAACAATGGATTAGTATTTGTAAAACACATACGGTATAATTCTGATTTTGAATAGAAAATAATGGTAATAGATTAATTATTCGAGGAGTTAATACGGGTGACATTGAGGATAACTTATCGTCTAAATTCATGGTTAGATCAATATCAACGGTTAATGTTCGTCATCGTCAACATATATCGATTAATTTCCGTCATAATATTCAATGTCAAACAAAAAAAAAAAGAAGCAGGCGCAGATCAATTCTTATGGAATGCATTTGTTGTTGTTATGGTTATCATTACTATTTGGTACAATAACAAACACCCATCAATGACAGTCAAGAGACAAAAGAGAAGGAAAATTCTTTCTCTATATCTATATCTTGGATGTAGAATAGAAGGCGGTATGATCATTTTTGGAGATATGTGTTACTTGTCTGATGGTGAAAAAAAGATGTGCTCGTCTTTCTCTATTTTTTTTTCTTTTCATCTGATAGTAAAATATATCTATTCTCTTTCTCTCATGCCTTTGTTCATCAACGCTTTTCTGCTTCTCGATGACGTGACATCAACGACAACAAAAAACAGACATACTCAGCAATAGACAAGGTCATCTATTGAGAATATCGTACTGGCTTTGATTAGTATATTGGCATTAAAAAAAATAAAGCAAAAATTTCAGAAATGCAAAGCATTTTTCACTAATAAAATAGTTTCATAATGTAATCTATATTAATTCAGCATAAGAAAGAATTCAATTGTAGGCATGAACATCACATATATATATATATATTTCCTTTATGCATACCTGTATGAGACTGAGTACACTATCTTTACGTGGCTGTAGAAAATGAAAAAATATTCATTGTACTTTTTGTTTCATCTCATTAATACTAATCAATGATAAACAAGGAAAAAGTTTAATTCAAAATACTTACTCTAATTTCACGAGTTGGCATTTGTGTTGTATTATCGATAGGAGCTGAATTAGATGCAGTACCCATCAGATTAACTAGACTTGTACTAATCTAAACAAAAAATAGGAAGAAGATTTATATAAATATGAATTCATTGTTCTTTTTACAAATCGTCAAGCTTAAAGATAATTAAAAATAATCTATCAATAATAGATTACATTTATTTAACTACTAGTTGAGAGACAATAAAATTTATCTTTTTATTTTCGTAAATGAATTCAATTTGACACACAAATAAGATTAGAAAGTAATAAGCTTTATTCATATGTATATGTGTTTAGAAGTACGAGAGAAGAAAAAGAAAGAGTAATGTTGATATGCTTGATCTGATATGGCGAGTCAAATGAACTGATCATAAAACTATTCAAATAATACTTTAGTCGATCAAACATTATTGGTAGTGAACGAAAGAATAAATTCGTCTCGATTATTTTCAAATCAAATTTAAATGAATGAACAAATAGAAGATAAATACGTTTCTTCTTACCTCTTTACTGGATAATGTACGTGAATTCGATAATAATATATCGTCTTTTGTAGTTGATTTTACTTGTAGTGAAGAATTGAATGCAGATGTATTTGATATTTCAACATTTTTCTTTTCATTGGATGATTTATGTGTTTTAACACTAGATGAAGTATTGTTACCAGCTGATGATATTGTCGATTCAGTACGACATTTATTTTTATTACTTGATGGTGATGATGAAAAAGATCTTTTTGGCATTAGAAGAGGTTTTGATGGCTGTTGATGATTATCTTCTAATACAGAAGTTGCTTCAGTCTTCGATGAATTGTGATGAACATTTTCCGGTGTCCGGCTGGATTTTCGTCTGAATTGAGTAGAAAAAAACATACTATAATCATTAATGAGAAAATAAAAATCTGATGATGATTTTATGAGAATTTCACCACATGGAGTCTTCAATAGGAATATGTCAGATTCAGATGAAAAAAAAATGTGGTTATCGTACATCCCTCCTCTTCTTATAAGAAAAAAATAATAAAAAGATAGGAACGTGTAGTTTTTTTTATGCGGTACAACAAATTTTGGAATGATAAAATTCGTAGATATTTTCTATAAAGAATGACGTTGTTAACTTAAGTACATTAATTTAAATACAGAAATCTTTCTTTTTTTTTATGCTACAAAACAAATATCGTAATTCAATCTCGTATGAATTTCATAATGATTTATTTTATTTTAAACTTGATTATAGATATGTATGTCTAATCAATTTTATTAGCTCCTACAAGTGCACTTTACAGATCACAATACAGACGTTTAATGATAAATGTTTATATACTTAATAGTCTATCAAACATATTCTATTGTCTATTTCCCATGATGATCATCATCGCATCTACTTTCTCATTTATTTGTATATGTCTGATGATAGAAGTCAGAAGAAAAATTCCATTTCCGATTGATGATTTTGTTGATAAATAAATACAAAGTAAAAACCAAATACACCTGCACATACTCAAATTTTGTCAATATTATGATTACGATTTGTCTCTCACATTCAAATGGTATTTGTCTAAAATTACTTCTAAATACTCCTATTTTTCTATACACCTATATGCCAATATACGATTGGAAAAAAAACATTCAAAATAAATAAATAATTTTATTCACACTGTATTTTCGATATCATATTGGGTGAAAAGATAATGAGTAATAGATATTGATATACATAGACGTATTTTGAACTCTTTATCATATCAAAAGAACAATATTTGTCTTAGAAACGATATCAAAATTTAATCAAGATATACGTTTGATAATCTATAGAATAAGAGTTTTTGATTGATTGATGAAAAGAAAAATGAAATGGTTTTGACGATATAGAAAAGCACAAGAAGACATACCTGCGACGAAGTGATTTCAACATTATTATTATTGTATATTTTGTTAAACTAGGAAAGTAAATGTTAATGTTGCAGCATATTCACATTTTCTTCTTTCTCATTTATAAAAACATAAATGATTTTTAAATGTTCGTCTTCCTGTTTTTTTTCTGTACGATGACGTGTTATTGTTGTTATACCTGATGACTCAAATAATTGATGTCGAATGAGATTGCGAAAAAACTATGATGTTATATACATATACCGATGTTAATGCCAATCGCATTCACTCTTTCTTCCGTAAAAATATCGTTGATCGGTAACGTTCTCTTTTAATTTTTTTTTTGTATGAGACAAAAAAAATAAGAACTGAGAATAAAGTACGATGAAATAAAATCAATAGAAATGAAATCGTGCTTTCTTCTACTGTTTTGGTCTCTATTAAATTCTACTTTTTTTTCTTTGATCAACTTCCATAATATATGTACTGTATGACTGTTATTGCCGTCTGTTGAGAATAAAGATGGCAAAGAAAAAAATTAAACACTAAATTCTAATAATTGTTGTAATTTTTTAATCAGTTATTGCAAAAATAATGTATATTTTTGACATGTACCTGTAATATATATTTGTATCAAATAACTTCTAGTCAGATTTAAAAAACATATTAGTTATTTTTTTTTTGCCTGAATAATCAACTTATAGCGTAACTTGATTTTATAATCTTGGTAAATATAAGTATAATATTTTTTTCATATACCTTTAAAAAAAATATTTTTTTTTCTCTTCTATTTCAAATATGAATGCGCCGACGATGTTTGTTTTGAATGTTTTAACCCTCTAGCTTCATCTTTGTAATTGTTGAGCACATGTTCTTTTTTACGTATCTTTTTTTTTCTTTCTTTATTACTTCGATATTTAAAGTGCAAAATTGTAAGAACAAGAACGAGAGTTAGATAAACAAGTAGAGTGACATCAACATCTTATGCTGCCATATTGTTCACGGCGACATTAGATTCATTTATAAGTAGAAATTATAGTAGTTGATAGAAGAAGAAGAAAAACCTACATGATGGAAACGATGCTTACCATTTATTTCTTTCTATTTCTTAGGCAAAAAAACAGGAAGTAAAACGTCTGAAACAAGCGAATAGGTTGTCGAGCATAATACTTATAATATGAACGAGTAAGACAAAAAAAAAAAATCCCACGCCTACACAATGTCCCATGGAAAAAAAACAAAATAAGTTTTAGAAGAAAAAAAAAGATGTCATGTATCTGTGACAATCTCAACTGAATAACACAGATTTATTTATTGATTATAATGTTTAAAATAGCTGAAGAACTTCTACATTTCATTATGAAATTAGAAAATATAACAAAAATAAACCCTATTATTCTATTTTCATTTACCTTAGTGAAGCGCATGAAGTCAGATTGCGTATAGAATGTCTAAAACTAGATGACATTGCACTGTGACTTCCAAATGGTGAATGTTGTCGTTGCTTTTGTTGTCGTTGATGCTTTTGATAATCAATATCATGACTTCGAACATGTTTTACTGGTTTATGTTTGTTACATTCATTGTCTTCTTGATATAAATCATGAGTAGTATGTGATGATTGCATAATTGCTTTTTAATCTCTCGTCTGTTTAAATAGTCGTTATTTACAAAATCATAATTTATCTTAAAGTAAATGAAATCACAACATAGAATAATAAATATGAGACAACTAATTGTCATTTACTATGAAAAACTAAGACGGCAAGATATAAATGATATGGAAAAGAAAGACTAAAGAAATAGTAGAAAGACTTCGTTTATATAACGTGAATATTATTATATACGCAACTTATTTTTCAATATATAAAAATTTACTATTCTTTTTCAATGATACTTTATGAGTAAGTATCCTGATGTGTAATAAAAAAAATAGAATGATTCATAAAAAGATGATTAATAGAGAAAAAAATAAGTGTCAACTCATTTAAATTGCTAATAATATAAAATACTGAAAGTTTGATTAATTGGAAAGACGACAGTACCTTGGGAAAAAAATAAGAAAGATACTGTCAATAACAACAACTGTGTTATATTCACTATTCTTTATGCTATGATGCTGACAAAAAATAGACATAAATATACAAACAACATTTTATGTAAATATGAATAAAACTAGTGGAGAGATACTAGAAGAATATAACTTAGTAAAAATATGTGATCATCACTTCTTGATTAGTTGTGTGTTTTTTTTCCGAGCGAAACTGTTACGTCAATAGGAATATTAGGACCATTTTTTATAGTCAAGACAACTTACTTATACGTCCTTAATCAATATCTTTATAGATATACTTAAGATTGATAATCATGATGATTTGTTAGTGAACTTTATGAAATAAGAAGAAGATAATATGAATATTCACATAAATTATGACATGGATCAACAAAACTAATGAACGCGTAGATGACAGTAAGAAAGAAAAAGAAAAGAAATACATAGGTGATGCTTTTCTGTAAGCAGAGACATAAAGAAAAAAAAAGGAAACAGAGAGATACATCACTTATTTGAATAACTCTTCAGAATACTAGGCGCTATATTTTTTTCTACTCACTTATCATACACGCCTAGTTTTACACGTAATGTTTATGCCGATATAGTCCAAAATAACTTTCATTTTTCCTCTTTAAATATAGACTATGATGTTTATTAAAGCGTCTGATTTTTTAGAGTATATATTTAAAAAAAAGCTAAGATTTTCGATAATTATATATTTCTATATCTGTAGTTTTACTAAACACAGGAATGTATATATATAATAAAGCTTTTAGCGTCATCATGAATTATTTCCTGGCTTTTTTTTTATGTCACCATTACTTTTACTGTTTTTTATGAAAATTATCTTTCTCTAATGTTACCTTGGATATGCCTATTATAAAATGTATTTTTAAACTAGAATTTTGTATCACTCCACTAATATTACTATGTTATTAACTCATTGTTTTATTCAATGTTTTTTTTGCAATATATATTTGAGAAAATTGATGAAAAAAAAGAAGAAACATCATTGTGAAACTTTTCTTTACAAATTGATTAATGAGGAATTTCATCTTAATAATATCTAATAAATGCTAGAGTCGATGATAAAAGTCATTTAAAATTTTCATTGATTGGCATTCGTTTTTTTTTGCTTTTTCTATTTAGTTATCAAAACATGTGTATATTTTTCACGAGCCATCAGAAAACATATCGACTAGAACTATGTCATGATATTCTTTGAAAATGATAGTGTATATTATAATGACGATGTTGTAATTGATGTCGCCATAAAGATTATTGAAATTTAATTTTCAGAAAAAAAACAATTCGTTTGAGCAAATAATGTTTTTTTTTATTCAGGAAAGTGTTGCGTACAGTATCAGAATATGCATATGTCTAGAAAAAATAGTAGAAATTTGAAAGAGTGAATATATCAATTGCCTAGTATCCTAACGTAGGAAAATTGAATCAACATCATCTAAAACATGAAGATTTTTCTAAAATTTAAGGCATTCGATCTTATTATATGATAATATTTACTTTTGTATACCATAATATTGTTCATATAATTTACTAAACAATAAAATTGTTTATTTTGAAAATAAGATCAGTTTTTATGTATCATGACTGATAAAATATATCACAAGTTATAGTTAATGATTTGATCAAAAATTACAGGCGATTGATATTCTGTTGGCTATATGCTTCTATTTTTTTTTGTATATATTTTAATGAAAAGCTTTACACGGATGTTCATGTCTATTTAAAAATAGCTGTTCTATGCGGTGGTACATAACAGGATTCCACATAGGATGGGACAGCTTCATCCCGTCCTATGAAATAAACAGCCACTTATATAAATATTTTTTATAAGGAAAGATATTACTATTTTTTTTCCATATAGGTAGCGTTCTTATCTATTTAAGTGGAAATAACGAAAATAAAACATTACTCCCTTCTGTAAATGATTATGCATTGTAATCATAAAAGCACAGTAAAATGGATTACAATGAATGAATAAATAAACAAAAGATGCAATTCTGTCTATTGTGATAGTTAAAAGAAGTGAGTTGATTCAGATATTAATAATAACTGATAAAATGTCTTCCGTACCGTACATTCATCATTCTCTATTATTGAATATCAATTTGGTCTATCTAATTTCATGATAGTAGTGAGTGTGAGAAGAGAATACACACATCCACACTCACAAAGAGAAGAGCAAAAAACAGAATACGTACCAAAGACAATATGATCTAAAGTTATTGTCGCATATCATAACAAAGAGCTCTTGTCGAAATTTTACTAATATGGTACTAGTTGAAGAATGATCATATATTATGGAAAAGTAGGACATCGTTTTTCATTATTACTACTTTTTAAAAAAGTTTTCCTCAAATTTTCTCTACGGAAGTAAACTACTTCCGTCATTATTTGTGGATTGCTCTAATTACCATGTCATTTTGTATAATTAATCAAACGGATAAACGCATTATTACATTTTACATTTTTTTGAAAACTATTTGATGAATATGATGTTCCATAAGATGGAACGAAATGCAAGATTTTTAGAAGTATCGTGTCTCAGGGGAGCATTTTTTCTATCTCGTTCCATTGCACGCAAATCTCTGGCATATAACCTAGATGGTAGAGGTAAAAAGATTAAAATACAATAAAATAAGCTACAGATTTACCTGATTCTATCGTGAGACAAAAGGAGATTTATTGTTATAAGAAACGATCTATAGAATATTTCGCTCACACTTCTACTGACAATTGTTAGCAATGTTATATGTGCACCTAAGAAGGGGAATGACAGACACAACGTCAGTATAGTACAAAGGAACTAGCTATCATCCCATATGAAAGGTCAAACAAATTTCATGTATAGTATGAATATGAAAAACAAGTTAGATCTATGTCAGTTGAGTTGCAATATTGTATGTGCATCAATATTTAGTTTTATCATCAACAGACGGGAAAAATATTGTCTTCAAGGGGCGTGCACAAGTACTATAAGTATTACAGGATGCAAAAAGAAAAATGAAAAAGTTTATCTACAGACGATCGGTATTACTGTAAAAAAAATCCTTGTAAACACTTATGATGAGTATGAGATAAATATAGCCTATGAGTCTCTTTACCTCTCTTCTTTTACTATTTATGTTATTCGATCAGGAGTGATCCGAAGCGACTAAAATTGGAGAAGGAGAGAACTGAAGCAACTAGAGTCCTTCGGGTTGGAATCGGACCTGACGGTTTCTAGTCGTGGCTTTTTCAGGAAGGTGTAAACGTCCTCTTTTCTGAGAGAATGCAAGAAAAATGTTTTCACGGTCGGGAGGAGGAGTTGCCACATCTTCAATACTCGGCTCCTTTTCTCTGGTCGGGCTAGTCTTATATTCAATGGAAAACAGAGGCATCTATCGAAATAAAATGAAAACAACTTTTCATCGTACTAAAAAAAAAAGTTAAATCTCATATTGAGCCATTTGAAAATGACACATGATAAATATTTGTACACTTGAAAGAAAAATTATATTGCTCAGTTTAAATTGACTGATCTTTCTAAATATAAAGGAAATAATAGACAGAAACAAAACGAAGTTGAATACAAAGACTTATTCAAACAGAGAATCAATCATATATTCAAATAAAGTGTCGCATGGTTATTTAAACAAAGAAAAGAAATAGACAAAAGTTGTTTCACATCAAGCTATCATTCATTTTTTAGATTTGGTGCAAGAACATACAATTATATATTATTATCGTTGCTTGTGAACACTATTTTTTCTTTTTACGGAAGACGTTGTTTTTGTATAATGGCGTCTTCAATGAATAAATCCGTTAGCGATGCACCAAATAAAGATGAAGAAACATATCAACTACTCGAACAACTTGATCATATTCTTAAACGACCTGAAACATATATTGGTTCAAATAAACCATGTCATGAAGTAAGATTATTATTTCTATATATTTATTTTAAAATGTTATGCGCATAGGAAATGTGGATTCTTGATGAAAAAAATGAAGAAGGTCCAAAAATTATCAAAAAAGAAATTACATATGTGCCTGGTCTCTACAAAATTTTCGATGAAATTCTTGGTAAATAAAAATCTAGTTTATTTGAAACGAATGCATATATACCTCTTTCTGTTCCATTTAGTTAATGCTGCTGATAATAAACAACGTGATTCAACAATGACATCCATCGAAGTAGATATCAATCAGTAAGATTTTCTTCAAAAAAAAAAAAAAACTCAAATTCTTTACTACACATCATATTATTTAGAGAAAAAGGTGAAATAAAAATTTGTAATGATGGTCGTGGTATTCCTGTTCGTAAATGGGCTCAAGATGAATCTATTTATATTCCAACATTAATTTTTGGCAAACTTCTTACATCAGATAATTTTAATGATAATAATAAACGAATTACTGGTATAGTTTAAATTCATTGAAAGAAAACATTCTTTGAAATTTTATTTATTATTATAGGTGGTCGAAATGGTTATGGTGCAAAAGTAACAAATATTTTTAGTACAAAATTTACTGTTGAAACATGTTCTAAAGAATATAAAAAATCATTTAAACAAGTATATTTTTCATCTTTATCTATAGATTTATTAATAGAATATAAAATTAATTTAGACTTGGACAAATAATATGCGTGATCCACAAGATGCAATTATAACTAAAACAAGTGATAATCCAAAAGAATTTACTCGTGTTACATTTATACCTGATTTAAAACGATTTCAAATGGAAAAATTCGATGATGATCTTGTTGCATTATTTAAACGTCGTGCTTATGATGTAGCTGTATCAACTGGTTGTAAAGTAACACTTAATGGCAAACGTATTCCAGTAGGATACTTTTTTCTTTTCGTTTTCAATTTGTAAATATTTTCTTTTTTGTTGTATTTTTATACATAGGTAAAAAATATGAAAGATTATATGTTAATGTATGTTGAAACAACAGAAAAAGAAATTGCTTATAAAAAAGTTAATGATCGTTGGGAAGTTGGTATTGCAAAATGTGATTATAATAATGGTTTTACACAAGTTAGTTTTGTTAATTCAATTTTAACATCTGAAGGTGGTAAACATGTTGATTATATAACTGAACAAATTTGTCCAAAACTTATTGAACATATAAAAAAGAAAAGTAAAACAGCTGGTGAAAATCTTAAACCTATGCAAGTTAAAACGCATTTATTTGTATTTGTTAATTGTTTAATTGAAAATCCGGAATTTGAATCACAAGCAAAAAAACAATTAGCAACAGAACGTAAACATTTTGGTTCAACATGTCCATTAAAAGAAGATGAAAATTTTTTAAAAGATATTATTAAAAAAACTGGTATTGTTGAATCAGTTATTAATTGGCTTGAACATCGACAAGATGCTAAATTACAAAAACAAAGTGGAACAAAAACATCAAAATTAAAAGGTATACCTAAATTAGATGATGCAAATGATGCTGGAACAAAAAATTCACAATATTGTACATTAATTGTAACTGAAGGAGATTCAGCTAAAGCACTTGCTGTAGCTGGTCTTGGTGTTATTGGTAAGAAAAGCAAAAGAAAAAAGAATTTTTTTCTAAATTAAAAAAATTTTCTTTTAATTAGGTCGTGATCGTTATGGTGTTTATCCATTAAAAGGTAAAATGTTAAATGTTCGAGAAGCGACAACAAAAAAAATGACAGAAAATAATGAAGTTTCACAATTAGTTAAAATTCTTGGTTTAAATTATGGTGAAAAATATATAAATAAAAGTGATTTATCTAAATTACGTTATGGAAAGTTAATGATTATGGCCGATCAAGATCAAGACGGTAGTCATATTAAAGGTCTTGTTATTAATTTTATACATTATAAATGGCCAAATTTACTCAAACATGATTATATTGAAGTATTTATTACACCAATTCTAAAAGTAAGATATAATTGATTTGAAAAAAATTCAAAATTGTATTATAAGAGCGAAGTAGTTTCACACCTAGATAGAGCTCGTCGAGTTGATCTCGAATCCGAACTTGTTCGATTTTGGGTCTGAAATTTTTGAATCCGATGGACTCTAGTAGTCTAAGAAATGTGTAGGGAGCACTGATCACCGAATCCAAAAAGCCGAAGAAAAGTATCTCGTATCTTCGGGACGACTATCATATTTTGATTACAAAAATTTTATTGAGTATCAGTACGGTTCGTTCGGATCCAAAAATTTTGGGTACGACAAGCTCTACTCCTAGAATTGGGCAAGTCAAGTCTGATTTGTGACTTGAAAATAGTATGCTGTGAGAATAACGTTTCTCGAGTCCCGTTTCCATTCCTGTAAATTTTTTTATTATTTCTGTTTACCTAATGCCTTCAGATTTCTTATGAAGATTTCATTTTCCATGTTTGAACAAAACAATCATCATCAGATACTAGCTCCTGTCGACGTCGTACTTTACGTAACATAATATGACCTTAAATTAAAAAATAAAATTATCATTGAAGGTGCATTTTAGTAAAATAAATCAATTATTATTTATACCCATCAACAACATTGATGAAAAAGCGAAAAACATTCACGAAGAGAAGGTTTATATTGTAAGATAATCTGAATAATAGTTCTTTCGAAGATGATCATTATATAGAAAATAATAGTTGTGATAATAGAATTACAGTTTAATGAATAAACTTGTCTAATTTTTGTTGATAGGTATTTGTTATTTTTTTCTAATGATAATTAGGCGATGCAAAGAAAAAAAATGTTGAAATCTATTTCTCAACAATCCACAATTAGGTTTGACTTTGATATTTTTTGTTTGAAAGAGCAAAGCTTGAAGAGTACATAAATAAAACAAAATGTTTTTCGGGAACGTTCATTTTTAATATTTTGCTTCTGTTCCCGATTCGCAAGGAAAACGTGACGGGAAAAAAAATCATTCCCATAGGACACTACTTGAAAAACACTTGACTTAGTCAATTTCGTTAACTTCGTCACAATGCGTTCAGCATCTATCAGTTTTCTATGCAGCTAACAGTAGGTAAATTTAGGTTGATTTGTATATAATAAACAGCGATTTGTTGTACATAATTGTATTTCTAACGGATGATTATCATTGAAAATAATTCTTTCGAAAGACCTACGATTTTTGCTGGTATCTATTTATTATTTCATTAATTGTAAAATGAACATTCTTATTCATAACACACAGACTTCTACAATAATTTATAATGTCATCATCATAACGAATCGAACTTCATCATTGGTCTCTTCAATCTATTCAATACACAGTTTATTATAGAAATCGAAATTTTTCTTGGATATTTCATTTAAATTTTTCATCTAATAATGTCTACTAATTAATTAACGATATATGAGAGAAACAAAAAGCATTAACAAAATGTAATAGAAACTTGTAATCTGATCGTAATTCCGATAAAATTCAGAGCGGAACTAAAAATTGTTTAACTACAGTCACACTTAAAGCCAATGACATCCTTCATGTTTAGTTCAACATTCATGGAAGAGGATATTTGCTGTTTAAATGAATCGAAGTGCTAAACTAAGATTTTTCAAATTCCTCAACACTATCAGAGAATTGTTTTAGCTCGAGTCTATCGAAATCTTTTTCTAAGTCTACAATTGGGATCAGTATCAAATATTGACTAACTCCGATTATATCTTACATATTCACATATATAAAAACTTTTTTCAGAGTTTTCATATGAATCATGATTTTCTTTCTCTATGTTTTAAAGTATATTCTTGTTTAGGTTACAAAAGGTAATGATGTAATTCCATTTTATTCTATGCCTGAATTTGAACAATGGCAAGCATCAACACCAAATTGGCAAAAATGGAAATGCAAATACTACAAAGGTTTTTTTCCCTCCCTTATTTTTTGTTTAAAATAAATAAATACATAAATAAATAAATATTTATTATCAATCTCAGGTTTGGGTACATCTACAGCTAAAGAAGCAAAAGAATATTTTTCTAATATGGATCGTCATCGTATTATATTTAAATATGATTCAATTAAAGATGATTTAGCTATACAATTAGCATTTAATAGTGCATTAAGTGATGATCGTAAAGATTGGATTAAATGGCATACAGAAGATGTTAATCAAAGACGTGAACAAAATTTACCAGCCGATTATTTATATAGAAAAGATACAAAACAAATTAATTTTAATGATTTTATTAATAAAGAACTTGTTCTTTTTTCTAAATCAAGTACTGAACGTGCAATTCCAAGTATTATGGTAAAAAAAAATGCAATACAAATAAAATATTTTTTTTTTGTTTCTCAAATCATTCTTTTTTTTTAAAGGATGGTCTCAAACCTGGTCAACGTAAAATAATGTTTGTTTGTTTTACAAAAAATTTAATACGTGAAATAAAAGTAGCACAATTGGGTGGTAAAGTAGCTGAAAATTCGGCTTATCATCATGGTGAACAATCATTAACAAATACAATTGTTGGTCTTGCACAAAATTTTGTTGGTTCAAATAATATTAACTTTCTTGTACCAGCTGGTCAATTCGGTACACGTTTGCATGGTGGTAGTGATGCTGCATCAGCACGTTATATTTTTACACGACTTAGGTAAAAAAAAGTACAAAGTTTGACATGTATGACGGCATGATTAAGTGTTAAGGAATTTTATTTTTTTTTACATTGTAATATTTATTTTTCGTCCATGACAAAAGCAAATTCTTTGGAACTTTTATTATGAATAGAGACCATTTAGGTCTACTATGAATAAAACATTTCATTGATTTTCTTTTTGTTAGAGTTGAGTTATTCAAAAAATACCGATCGTTACAGAATTTTTAAAAGATGAAATTTGTGTATTAGCGGAACTGAGAGTTTAGCATTTTATCATGAAATG